TAGTTCCTTTCTCCCCCGAGCGCCCCTCTACACCCTCGCGACGCACATGGCCCCCGAGAAGAACACTTCTATTTCCAGTCTCTGCGGCTCTCCCCGCCACGGCGCCCTTTGTTGAGAGGTAGATTTTGATGAAACGGGGACGGGTTCCTGAAATCGGGAGCTGCTCGGGTCAAGTGGCTTCCCTCTTCTCCCGAAGAAAGGGCTTTTGAGGGGTTTAAACATCCAGAGAATGCCCTCATTTTATAGGGACGGGTTACGTGGGGGGCAGCGATCCCGCCAAGGTGGCTGTTAAACTGGAAAGAGCTCAAACAAAAATGTTATTAACTTAAGTTGGAGGGACACTTGTGTGAAATTGGATGGCTTGTAAGATGGCGGTTCCCAGTTGTTTCCAAGGTCTCCTGCATTTGTGTTTAAAATGGTAAAGTTTTCAAGGTGTTATTTGTTGGGAGTCTTAGATAAGTTCTCTAAACATTACTTGGGACGTGCGCACTGGGAAGTGGGCATTTCAAATTTGGAGCTTTTTTTGGAGTGATGATGGTGACTGGACGTTAGTCTTGCAAGAGGTTTCCATCCCCCCCCCTTCTTTTTCTCTTTTTCTGCTTTTTCTCCTCCGTGACTGCAATTTTTTTCTCATCCTCTATTATGGGATGCACTTAGAACCATGACTTGAGTCCACTACGTTTTATAGGTTTTGCTAAATGTCAGCATAGGTCATATGGTAAAGAGATGCTTTGGAAAAGGAGCACCAAAAAGTTGACTACGTATGTTTACATAGTCTTTTGGGTTTGACAGCGATATAGCATGATCTTTTTCCCAGAAATTTACAGTTAATGATTGGAAGTAAACAAGTAGAGAGACTTTGATCATTCCCAATTGCAATAAAAGGATTTAGTGGGCTTAGTGGTCACGGTCCAGTATTTGAAAGAGAAGTATGTATTTTAACCCCTTCTCTGAAAGTAGGCAAAATTCTGGGCATGTTTATCCAAATCTAAGGGTAGGTTGGTGGTACCTAGAATGTTACGAGTATTCAACATATATTTTAAAGGAATCTTAACCCTCAAGTTCTGAAAACACATTATAAGCTATAATAAAGACTTGAAAGTTAAGAATGCAAATTGTTGACATGTCGTATATACTAACTTATGTGACTATGTTAATATTTGAATTTTATTTTAAGTAGACCGATCAGAATCCCTTAGAGATTGATTTTATGAGCAAACTTAAAAACTTTTTAATATTTGAGTTCATTCCCATACATTTGCCCCAGAGTGCAAAGGTGTTTGAAATAACCTACCTGTGCAAATTATATGCCTAGTAACAGTATCTTTAAAGCCATATAAAAGTCACTATGTATGCATGTGGTGTACACACATATGCTTTTGTAAAAAAAAAAAAAAAAAAAACAACATTTAATTGTATTTGATAAACTCATTAATACTATACCACCAAGTTCTGGGATGTGCATTAAGTACCCAACTAGGCAAAATTCTCCCTAGGAGTCAAGTTAACCCAAACTTTACCCATACTTCTACTGGGCTGTGAACCCCAACTGGGGTTATGGAGTTCATTTGCATTTCTTAGATTGCTGTAGTCAAGCTGATTGTTAACATGAGAACTTGCTTCTGTTTTGCTTCATTTTGACATTACTGGTGTTAGGCCTCCCAACTAAACTGACAGCCCTTACTGAGTATGTTATAATGGCAAGTTGAGTATTTTTACTGTGATACGTTTGGTGCATTTTTACTTGCCTGCCTGGCAGTTTTCTGTGTTAGAACCTGGAAGGCTTTCATTTCTAAGGTGCAAGAGATGGTTTCTTAAATCTATCAAGCATGTCAAATGTTTTGGAAGTCATCCTTAGGTTGCCAGGACTTTCAAGTGGTATAAAAAGATAAAGAACTGATTTTTATGTAAGTAACAAAGTGATATTTACTAGCATTATAGATGGTAATAGGACTGTGGCCAAATTCTTCAGAACTGACTTAGAAGAGTTGTGTGAATTAAGACATAAAATGAATTTGGAAAGGTTTTAGTCAAGTACCTGTGACTTAAAATTAAGAGCTAACCAGTAGATTATCCTCCACTGAGGTTTGACTGTCTTGTGTATTAGTATTTGTGTTTGGTGTTTTCTGTACAGTGGAGAAATAAAGACAACTATTTTTACTGATGTCCCTTCCTAACTTGATGTTCGGTGGCATTAGTGTGATATGCTTTCACAAGGAGACCTAAGTATCACCTTGCCACCTTTCTAGGAAAGGTCCTGTGGTTTCTACAAGGAGAGTTTTCTTTAAGAATTAAAGTTTGTCTTTAGTCAACCACAATGGATTTAAATATTGCTACTCTTTAGGGACAGTGCTCCACCCACAACTCCTCTGCAACTCCACTTAGATTTATTTTAACAGTATGTTGACAATAGTCTTGTAAACAAGTAATCCAAAGATAACTGAGGAATCACACATGAAGGTTTCTGGTTGAAGTTGCCAGTTGCCACTATGATCACTTTCATAGAAGAAACTTTGTTTTGTTTTTACCGTTTTTTAGTACTGTAAAGCTGTTAGTTTCAGCCATTGAGGTATGTTGATTGGTATTTCCTTCTTCATTAAAATTCCCTAAGAATTAAAACCTCAGTTGCATCTTCCAAGTTTCACAGATTCCTAGATTTCTATTGAAAGCGGTTTTGAGAATGTACTTCAGACAGGTCTGGAATCTTGGTCCTATTTTAGGTTCTTGAAATGAATGAAGTGGGGGTAAGAAATATATTTTTCAAGAGTACTACACGAAATAATTGACTTCCCTGATTGTCCGCTGGTGTATTGTTGCTGACAGTTCCCCACCGTGACTTTTCTATAATATATGGTATCTACTGGGAATATTATTTCATCGTGTGGGGATTTGTATGGAGGTTAGGTTGAGAAAATGACATTTGTTTTTCTCTCCTATGTTGCTCTGGGTTGACAAGGTGTTGATTTAGCGTTGGGAATGGACTGGTCACATGGTTCTTTACATATTGTCACTACCGTACCGATTAAAGTAGTTTGTCTTGCCTCCAGCATAGTTGAAATAAAACACAAGGCTTTGCCCCCTCCTTGTCTTCTTGTAAAACAGATTTCACTTTTTAGCCTTAGCAAAACTTTGTGTCGTTCATCTAATCTGCAAGAGAACTTCATACTAGAGAAGAAAGCTTTAAAGAGGTTCAGTTCAATAAACATCTCTGCAGTCTGAGCCCTGACGGTTTCGGGCTAAGTGCACAGTTGGCAATTCTCAAAAGGTCCCTTCGTGAAATTTTTGACCTAGTGATTGCTAACAGGAGAGACCAAGTCAAGATCTGAAAGAAGCTCTTCGCACCGAGTCGACTTGGAAAGAGGCCCCCAAGAGTGTCCGAAATGGCCGAGAGTGCGGTTTGCATTTTCCTTTACCACTCGCACGCTCCGGGCCCCCCAGGCTGCCCGCCCGGTTGCCGCGGGCCGGGATCCTGCTCCCCAGTGCCGCGGGCCTCGTGGGGCTGCCCCACCCCCGAGCTGCGCCGCGCCGCCCGCACCCCACCCCGCCCCCGCGCCAGCCCCGCCCCCGCGCCGCGCCGGCCCCTCCCCCGCGCCCGCTGCCGCCTCCGCCCCGCCGCCCCGCACGCCCGCCGGAGCTCCGGGCTCGGCCCGGCTTCGCGCGGAGTTGCAGCGGTGGCCGGATGCCAAGTGTAAGTGTAAGTTGCTATGGAAACCCCGACAGAGGCGAGTTCCGAATCCGGAGCGAGACGGAGCCCCGGGCGCCGCCGGATCCGCCCCTCGCATCCCGGCCCCCGGGCGTCCGCGCGCTCAGGCCCCAGCTCGAGGCCGACTGGAGGTGCTCCTGCGGCCCCAGCACCCAGCTCCGGAAATGCCAGGGATGCAGATAGGGCAGAATTTGTTTTCCCTTTGTATCGCGTGAAAACGTGCCAGGTTCTGGTTGCTGGAACCGCCTAAAACAACAAGAACCCCTGGGAAGCCAGGGCATGCTCCCGGATTTTCAATTGAAGATCCATAAGGAAGTTTTACAATAAATTTGGAGACCTGGAACAAGCCCTGGCGGTTGGTAAATATCTGTTGGGACTGCGTGGCGTGTGCAGCAGCCGGGGGGCTGCTAGGCTAGAGGAGGAATGGAAGAAAGAGACCCGAATATTCTCAGCTCCCAGCCCCCACCCCAGACCTTTTCTTCTCCCTCCTGGAATGACCTGAGGGACCAGAAGTTACTTTAGCTGAATCCTTTTTCATCATTTCACTATAATTGATTCAGGTCTGATTAGTAAATTCCTTCTGTAGAAAACGTTGGGACAGTCCAGCTGTACAGTGTTAAAATGAGTTTTATGAACTCAGCATTTCAGAGCGTTCGGTTACGAGAAGTTGGGAGATAATCTCGTTTCTGTTTCTGTGGATTATGGCCAATATTTCTGTGTCTTGCAGGATATTTTATCAAGCAGAAATGCATCGAACAACTAGAATCAAGATCACTGAGCTAAATCCCCACCTAATGTGTGTGCTTTGTGGAGGGTACTTCATTGATGCCACAACCATAATAGAATGTCTACATTCCTGTAAGTACAAAGTTTTAGACCTTTTTTTGTGTGTCATGTATATTTCACATTTCTTTCTGACGTTTGAAAACTGTTTAACAATTCCAGCAGTCCTTGAGAATGTTGGTACAAAGTGATGGAATCATTTTCTACTCTTGCATTTGGTTAATTTTTGTTAATGCATAGTTTAAAGGTGTAACTATGGGATGTATAAGTGTTCTAAGAATGTTAATTGAGTTCATTGGAAGTATCTTTTGACATTTAGCATTTTACTAGTTCTCTATTTTTGACACTAATTTCACTGCTTAGCATTTAATTTCTAAACTTAAAAACTTTGTTTTTCTACTTCCAGTCTGTAAAACATGTATTGTGCGTTACTTGGAGACCAGCAAATATTGTCCTATCTGTGATGTCCAAGTTCACAAAACCAGACCACTACTGAATATAAGGTAAGAAAAGGTTTAAAATTATTGTCTCTAATTGTTATTGGAATTGCATAATTTAGTGAAGGTTACCCTGTTTTATTTCTTCACACAAAATTTACCGTTGAATCTCTACCTAATGTGTGTGTTTTGTGAAGGTTGCTCTTCATTTCTCGACATTTTAAGGATGGCTAACTTTAAGCAAAGTTTGGTATTATTGAAGTGGATTTTAAGGTTTTTTAAAAACCTGAATTAGTTCTCTATTTCTGCATTGCTTTATTGAGTTTATGACAGGCAGGAATGAGTGTGTTTAAAGTGCTTCCATTTTCTTCTATTCTCTTTCATATTAGCTAATTTAGTAACTTGAAAGGCATACTTCTCTTGATTCAGTGAAATGTGAAGAATTTCTTAATGAATGTAAAAGTATTTTTCCATTGATTTAAAAGATAACTGCTAAAGAATTTTTATTCTCATAATTGTTATCTTACTGATGTAGACTCTCACAATCAAGTAAAACACTACAAAAAAAGAATCTATAATAATTTATGAGCATTTAAAATTTTGCCATTATAATTAATGATTTACTTTTCTAATTCTTTTTCAGGTCAGATAAAACTCTCCAAGATATTGTATACAAATTAGTTCCAGGGCTTTTCAAAAGTGAGTAACTTGCTGACAAATGAATTTTTACAAAGTATTTCATCAGTTTTACCTGCTATAACAAATGTTTAAGTCTTTTTTTTTCCCCCCCCTTTAGATGAAATGAAGAGAAGAAGGGATTTTTATGCAGCTCATCCTTCAGCTGATGGTAAACTCTTTAGAGAGGGAAAAGACATTTTATTTGGAGGGAGAATTTATTATTCAATAATTTATTAAAATTGAATTTAACTTAAAGTACCATTTCCATTTTCCTACATCTGTAATATTTTAATTAAATATTAATTTTAAAATTGCATTTCAAAATGTCTTTATAGCTGCCAATGGCTCTAATGAAGATCGAGGAGAAGTTGCAGATGAAGATAAGAGAATTATAACTGATGATGAGATAATAAGCTTATCCATTGAATTCTTTGACCAGAACAGGTAAATTCTGTTGGAAATGTGTTTTATGCTAATCTGTTTGTAGATGCATTGTTCCACTAATAAAGTTATGTTTCTTAGATTGGATCGGAAAGTAAACAAAGACAAGGAGAAACCTAAGGAGGAGGTATGTTCCATGTCGCAAAAACATACAGAAGAAACATTGTTTGGATTCTAGATTTTATGAAGGTGTATTTTGCCCTTTAGAATATTCTAAGGCCAGATGATGCTGTCAAATGGGAGAAAATGATCATATTTGATGTTTAAGAGTGATTTATATGCGATAGTAAGATAGAATTTACTTTATATATGATTATTATTATTACAAAATGCTTTAAATAATTAATGTTTAATGCTTTGATGTATTTAAAGTTTCTTATATTAGCAATTGCAATCACCTTATTTCATATTTATAATAGTAAACTCAAAGTATAGTTGAGAATTTAGTCAATCTCAGTTTTGGTATTCATACTTTTTATCATATTGAGGCAATCTAATGGAAATTTTTTTCTTACCCAAAAGTTAGGAATTTTAAAAAATAACTTTTCTAAATGTATTTTTAGGTGAATGATAAAAGATATTTACGTTGCCCAGCAGCAATGACTGTGATGCACCTAAGAAAGTTTCTCAGAAGTAAAATGGACATACCTAATACTTTCCAGGTATCTACTTTATGGTTTTTGTGCATTTAATGTGTTTTTTTTTTTAATTCAATGACTTTTTTCTTTTTGGATTCTGAACCCCAAGAAAGCAACAGATTTTTTTAAATTTAGAACTTAGTTGGAACTCTCTCTTAAAATGTTTAGAATGAATTTTGTTGTATGCTGTGAAAACAAATTCCTTAGTAATTTCAGGAAATATTTGTCCTCATTTGAGGTGTCAAGAGGGAGTCTTTCCTTGTCCAGATGTTTGAAGAGAATGTTTGTTAAAGCTTTTTTGGATTGCATTTAGATGACAAAAAAAAAAAAATCTCAATTTATCTTTGTTCTGCATGGTACTTAGTTAAGTGAAATATTATTTTCCAATAGATTGATGTCATGTATGAAGAGGAACCTTTAAAGGATTACTACACACTAATGGATATTGCCTACATTTATACCTGGAGAAGGGTAAGTAGCCTAACTCACACTCCGAGAGTATTATGGTAAAACTGTATTTAAAGAGCACTGATTTTTTTTTCCTTTTCACTTTGTAGAATGGTCCACTTCCTTTGAAATACAGAGTTCGACCTACTTGTAAAAGAATGAAGATGAGTCACCAGAGAGATGGACTGACAAATGCTGGAGAACTGGAAAGTGACTCTGGGAGTGACAAGGCCAAC